GACATTGGCAAAATATCCAAAGTAGAATATGTTGTTTATAGTAGCAGCATTCACTGGAGTTGAATCTATCTATAATAAGTAATGCCTGATAACTTTATTTTTTGATTCTTAAACATGAAGAGTCAATCCACGCCAGAGCAGTGAATTAATGGTTAGAAATCAAGTAATATGTTTTTCATTTACAATTGGAGAGTTCCCAGTTAAAAGAAGCATGAAGAATCCGTTGTTGATGGGCAGTAGGTTTGCTGAAATAGCCCAATCTAAAAACCAAGAAAGGGATAACAAGAACATAAACATGACTTCAACCCTCCTAAGAATCAAATCAGTGTTTAGTCCATTTGATTTCTGAGGTTGCAGCAACAGTCCAAAGAACTAGATGCTATAAATAGAACAGTGACTAAGAAGATGGCAGAGCAGAAAACATCCTGCATCTTACAAACAAAGAGATAGGTTATGAAATCTGTGAGGATGGAAATCGAAGCCATGGGCCACAATTAACACACGCAATCATGGTTGGGCAGCTAACTCCTAGAGAACATTGCTCATACGTGGTGTTTTCATTCTCATCTCCTGTTGGTTTTACCTTTTTGTCTTATCAAACTCATGAGCTAGCAGTTAGGTAACCCTTGATTTTTGGCAACTAATCATGGATAAAGTTTGTGAATTCAATGATAAGAGCGCCTTTTGCCCCTTGCTTTTATCTCAATTGTACTAATCATTCTCTTCTTTCATTGAGGAGCAGATGCTTGTAATCGATATTGCTTTAAATGAGAGAACCATTTTTAGGGGTGCTTCTTTTGTTACCCTATGCTCCTTTTTAAGCTTATGTTGCCACAATTATACTTAATTATTATGGCGATAATGATTCTGTGAATTTATAGGCGAGGGCTTCTAAGAGTGTTGACATTTTACAAATGAAAATGATGACTAAGACGTGATGCAGATGATAAACATGTTCAACTTCATTGGAAACCAATGCTGGCGGTGAAGCTAATTCTATTCACATCGTGGAGCAACATGGGTGCATTTTATGCCTTGTCATGAATCAGCTGAGAAACTGCCATTGCTCTCTCGGAAAACAAATCTCGACTGTCGTTCCAGGCTCGAACCAGGCCCTGTAACAAATCTAACCAAATTGGAAGCTATGCAACATAATGGGCCTTATGGGCCGGACCAGCTAGTTAAACTTGCCTGTGGATACTGTCCAGAATCCAGGGACTTTAATCTCAAGTATAGCTAGAAAATATGAATTATGCTGAATATCTAATTAAAATCATGAAATTGGCACCATTATTGATATGAACATAAGTTACCAACTTGTGAAGGGAAAGCCCTCTTCTTTTCTTGGCTTGTAACAGGCAAAACTTGAACTGCCACCAGACAAAAACGTTTGCTGTTGCTATCATAATTATTCAGACTTTACAGTAATACGGTAGTGAGTCGATCTTTTCAACACATGATTTACTCGACATCAACATGAAAATATAAACGAGACAAATCCATCTAAGTTGCTCGCCCGATAAGGTGGACTGATGTTATATGGATCTTTTTCAGAACTGTGACTTGCTCGAGCTGCATTAACTAGAAACCTTAGCTTCCAAGTAGGCAACTGGAAAACCCTTTTTACTATAGAGATATATAACTGCCAAAAAAGAATTATTGGCAACATGAAAAAGAGCAATTTCTCCCCTTTTTTTTTCTTTATGTGTGTGTCTGGCATCCCTAATTCCAAATCCAATTATTTATGACCATGAGCAATTGAGCATGTGAAGCAGTGAGGTGTAATCCACTGAAACAGTGTTTCTCAAGGGGCCCCAAAGAGGGTCTAACATGGGGCTTCAACGTCCTCGTAGTTTTCATGTCTCCTATCTCTGGTAGTTCTGTTCGCATGCGAACTGCCACAGCCTGAACGGACATCCCAACAAACAAATGCCCACTTTCCAGCATCAGCAGATAACACCTTTAGCTTAAGTATATCCCGTTTTCCTTTTTTGGGTTTAATATTTCGATAAAGTTTCTGTTGAAGTAAATTTTGATAAATATTGTACTAGGGAAATAAGGTGTTATCTTTGGGTTTTTATGTGGGTAGTTAAAGAATTGAAGTTATACTTGATATTGTGTTTGGAGAGGTAAAAATAAATAAATAAATAAATAATTTTCTTGATTTTTGTTGGAAAACGTTTACACACCAAACTCACAAAAAACACCAAAATTTGTTGAAAAACAAAAAAAAAAAAGAAAAGAAAATACCAGAAATTTTCCATTCCTCCAATTTCTTTTCTTTCTACTAATATAAGTGTTGACAATGCCAATGTTAAGCCTTTTGGTAATTATAATGAGCTAGTGTCACGGGGTTTTGTTCCAATAAATCGTGCAACTTTAGCCTCGATCCTCCCGTGTATAGGAAACGGATCAAGCTCATGCAACAAAAGTGCAGACTCATAATCAATATAAAAAGATAAAAATAACTGAGAAAAGGGATGTAAGACAGCAAAGTGAGAGTTTATTAAGTTACTATTCAAAAAACAAGACAGAGTTTATTAAGTGAATTCATGTAAAGGTCACAGTTGTGTGCCTCTGACTCATCAGCAATGACCATGCGGGCCTGGATAACTAGCATACGCTGCGTCCCACTCTGTGCGCCACTTTGCCTACGCTGTGACACTCTGTGCTCTAGCTCTTGCTTGTTGCACCTCTGAAGAGGCCAAGATGGGCATGACACGCAAGCTCTCGTAGCTCAGTTGGTTAGAGCACCCGTTTAGTAAGCGGGAGGTCTTGAGTTCGACTCTCAAGAGAGCAGTTGTTGAATTTTTCTTTTGAAATTTTTTCAACCTTAAACCTAATCTGTCAGATGCTGAGTCGGCAGCCCAGCAGCCAACAACAGACACTTTGTACAGCTCAAAAGGTCAGATTATGTCAGCTCAAAGCAGGAAATGAAGGGACCCACTCATTGGTGATCAAAATGATCACATGTCCGCCACGCGACAAACTTTCACGCACGGGGAATCCAATCTGTGCGGTCCATTTCGACGAATCGGGTGGGTCAGTCAAATGATGACTTCTTTTATGTTCGATATCAGCCGTTGGATATTTGCCAATCCATCTATCTACATTGCCTAAAGCAGAAGCTCTCATTTTATCTTGTCAGCGGCCTTCCTGTCATGTATGTTCCCCTACTTTCGCTTTAAAAACATAAGTCACGTACATTTAATTCGATGCTTTTTCTTCTTTTTCTCTCTTCGAAAGACGGTAGATGCCCTTCACGCGCGCCCACCGCCCACGTACCCAACAATTTGTCATCAAGATTCTTTTTCCAGCTAAATTGTAGTCAATAGCTTTGAAGGCCCTTTGCGTGGCTTCTAAATATTAATGGTTGGAAATTTGTATTTAGAGCTTTAAAAAGTAAATAGGCATTGTAATTCTTAAGTATTGGACTTCGGTATTAAATATGCTAGTAATTATATGCACCTTTAATTACAGAATTAAATTTAAATAATTTCAATCCAATTTGCTTTTGACATAAAAAAGATAAAAATTTTATTTAGGTGTCAATATCAATAATGGATTTGAGTAATTACAAAAATTAATTAATTTTAATGGAAGTATACTTTTAGTTTTTGTATTTTATAAATAATGTAAATTAAGTTATTATTTAATAATTTATTTAAATTGAATTATTTTATTTTTTAAATTTGTCAACATCGTTCTAAGTTCTAATATTATTAAAATTTCACTATTAAATATATTAACATAATATTTAATCAAGTTAATATAATATTTAATTATATTAATATAATTTTTTTATTGATATGATGTTGATTATAAATTAACATGATATTGATCATTCTGATATAATATTAATTGAACTAAAAAGATATTTATTCTTTATGTAATGTTGTACATGTACTTTTTATATCATCAATGTTAGTGTAAAATTTTCATTGATTTCTTTCAAGGTTTTGTTAAGTACCCAATCAAAATTTATTTCTTCTTTAAAATCCAAAACATTTAGTTGAATATTGCTCGAAAATTTCTATATCATCTTCCACATGTGCTACTGATCAAATAACATAAAAAAGAGAAAAAAAAATGAAATGCTACATCTATTTTTAGCCATACCCCTAGTTCGATTCTTGAAACTTTATCCATTCCCGCAGTGACAGTTAATTCCACGTTAGCCATGTAAGTTAAGAGTTGATATTTTGCATGGAAGTTCTTCTTCCAACAGTCCAAATCAGTTTGGTATGCCTCTCATAAAATGTGTATAAACAAAAATGCAGTGACCAAACGGACGGATCTGCCTCATCCACATCACGTGACTTTCCGACACTTCCGTGTCCTAAAACCAAACAGGTAACACCTGTCCCCAACATTATCACGTAAACCCAAATTATCACCGAGAAAATCACGGACCCAAAAGATTTTTTCTTCGATGTTTACGGTTTAACCACCAGTTTATTTGGTAACTGTTGTTAAACATACTGACAGATTAACAAGGATTCTTAAAAGGCACAGGGTCTATATCTTTGACGAATTTTTTTTTCGGGTAGGGAATGAAAAGCCTGTTTCTTTTGCAGTTTTTTTATTTTGCAGGCAGTTGGGGAATTATTAGATTCTCATGCTAATATTATCCGTCCGATCAGGAGACCTCGCGCAGGGTCTGGTTATCATCGGAGATTTTATGACCCCCCACTAATCCAACGGCTATCATTAAATGCCATGTGCCATAAACGGCGAAGAGTTATTTTGTCAGATTATGATACCATAATCGCGGACCCAACCCCATTCCTTTCCTAGATGTCATAAGAAAGGGACTCGCACCATTCCAACGACCATCGCTTTTAGTTAATTAAAATTTAAAATCTCACTGCTTTCAAAATGGTCAAAACGGAGTCGTTTTCTGGTTGATTATTGGACTCGAGGATTAATTAATGTTTCAAGATTAGAGAAAATAAAGACGGTAATAATCAATGATCTCTCTTATATCATCTCTGTCGGTAAGCGGACACTCACTCACTTCACTCTTTCACTTCGCTCTTGCTTCCCATGGCTAATTTTTTCTCCAGTTTTCTCCCTTTGCTGTTCCTTCTTTTGATTTCCTCTGATTTTCCGAAATCATTTTCCTCTGATCAAACTGTTAAAACCTTCATCTTCCGTGTAGACTCTGAATCGAAGCCGTCCATTTTCCCCACTCATTATCACTGGTACACTTCCGAGTTCGCGGAACCAACGCGAATCCTCCATGTGTACGACACCGTTTTCAATGGCTTCTCAGCCGTTGTAACTGAAACCCACGCCGCTTCACTCAGTAACCACCCTTCAGTCCTTGCTGTTTTTGAAGACCGCCGCCGGGAGCTTCACACGACTCGCTCCCCTCAGTTCCTCGGGCTAAGAAACCAACACGGACTTTGGTCCGACTCAGACTACGGATCCGATGTCATAATAGGAGTATTTGACACCGGAATCTGGCCCGAACGACGTAGCTTCTCAGACACGAATCTTGGACCGATTCCGGCTCGGTGGAAAGGAGTTTGCCAAACCGGAGCCAAATTCGTTGCTAAAAACTGTAACCGTAAGTTGATTGGAGCGAGATTCTTCTCTAAAGGTCATGAAGCGGCTGCGGGACTGGGTGGTCCGATTGCCGGAATCAACGAAACGATCGAATACATGTCGCCGAGAGATGCTGATGGTCACGGGACTCACACGGCCTCAACCGCCGCCGGAAGACACTCATTCCGCGCCAGCATGGAAGGTTACGCTGCCGGGATCGCGAAAGGTGTGGCGCCGAAAGCCAGACTGGCGGTTTACAAGGTTTGTTGGAAGAATTCAGGTTGTTTCGATTCCGACATTTTAGCCGCTTTCGATGCAGCCGTTAATGATGGCGTCGACGTAATTTCGATTTCGATCGGGGGCGGAGACGGAATCTCTTCTCCTTATTATCTCGACCCGATCGCAATCGGAGCATACGGTGCGGTCTCGCGGGGGGTATTTGTGTCTTCTTCGGCTGGAAACGATGGGCCTAATCTAATGTCGGTTACCAACCTTGCACCTTGGTTGGTTACGGTTGGAGCGGGAACAATCGACCGGAACTTCCCTGCTGACGTCATCCTTGGTGATGGGAGGAGGTTAAACGGCGTCTCGTTGTACTCCGGTGAGCAGTTGAAAGGCAAGATGTATCCGTTGGTGTATCCTGGTAAATCAGGGGTACTCTCGGCTTCTCTATGTATGGAGAATTCGCTTGATCCTCGTGTTGTTAAGGGAAAGATCGTAATTTGTGATCGTGGGAGTAGTCCGAGGGTGGCCAAAGGTTTGGTGGTGCAGAAAGCTGGAGGAGTCGGCATGATTCTTGCTAATGGGGTTTCAAATGGTGAAGGCTTGGTGGGTGACGCTCATATTTTGCCCGCTTGTGCTCTTGGGTCAGATGAAGGGGATGCAGTCAAATCATATGTTTCAACATCAGCAAATCCGACGGCTACCATTGATTTTAAGGGTACTGTCATTGGTATCAAGCCAGCGCCTGTTGTGGCTTCGTTTACCGGGAGAGGACCCAATGGGTTGAACCCTGAAATTCTCAAGCCGGATTTAATTGCTCCGGGGGTTAACATTTTGGCTGCTTGGACTGATGCTGTTGGACCAACAGGGTTAGACTCTGATCAACGGAAAACAGAGTTTAATATCCTATCAGGAACCTCGATGGCTTGTCCTCATGTTAGTGGTGCAGCGGCTTTGCTTAAATCTGCACACCCTGATTGGAGCCCAGCGGCAATTCGATCTGCTATGATGACTACTGCCAGTATAACTGATAACAAGAATCAGCCTATGATCGATGAGGCAACTGGGAAGCAGTCGACTCCTTATGATTTTGGTGCTGGGCATCTTAATCTTGATCGCGCAATGGATCCGGGTCTTATTTATGATATTACTAACAATGATTATGAAAACTTCTTGTGTGCTATTGGTTATAATCCGAAGTTAGTACAAGTTGTTACGCGATCGCCGGCGGTTTGTCCAATGAAGAAGCCGTTGCCTGAGAATCTTAACTACCCTTCGATCGCTGCATTATTTTCAACCACGTCGAGGCGTCCAACAAGTAAGACTTTTATTAGGACGGTGACCAATGTGGGTCAGGCAAATGCAGTTTATGTAGCGAAGATAGAGGCACCGAAAGGGGTGAGAGTGACAGTGAAGCCGGTGGAGTTGGTGTTCACGCCAGCGGTGAAGAAGAGGAGCTTTTTCGTGACCATAACGGCTGATAGCAAGCATCTGGTGCTGGATAATTCAGGAGCTGTTTTCGGGTCACTGTCTTGGACTGATGGGAATAAGCATGTGGTGAGGAGCCCTGTCGTGGTCGCTCAACTCGATCCCTTGTAAAAACTACTGGTAACTTTCGGATTCGATCAATGTAGGTTTTGATCGATGAAAAGAGTTTGGTAAGACTTTGGTAGGTGGGAGTTACGATATTTAATCAGGGGAGAAATCAATATAAGGTAGCATAAGTGTAGAACTTGCTGCGCATAGTGAAGCACTCTTGTGCCTTTTTGTGTGTTTCGTTTCTTCTTCGGCAGGGGTAGGAATTAGGGTGGCCTTTCAAGAACCGGATTTGAGGGTGTCTTAGTGTGACTTTTTGCCCTTGTTTTCTCTTTCTTAATCTTGTGTATTTATAAACTTGAGAAGTTTATCTATATACAGAATAGTTCTAAGAAATTATTAGACAATGAAATCTCCATCTTTGCCGGGTAATGATAGACCCTAACCTTCCTGTCAAATATGCTAATAATATTATTACTGTTCATTGTCCCATCAAAATGAGGTTAACTGGACTGATTAATCTTGCTTTGTCGAGGAGACAAATCTGCGGGATGAACAAAGCCACTCCATCTCCTATGTCGCTTGCAAGAAAGTCAAGAAATTCAAATTGCCTTAATTTTGAAGCAGTGTCCCCCATTGCTGGAGCTTTCAGTGAACTACATGATCGTCATCCTCGCAGTGAAACATGGCAGTCTCACTATTTCTGTTCCAAGGTGTTGGCTCTTGGTTGGTGATTTCACCCGATAACTAATAATTGCTGTTTGAATTTTGTAAGCCCTGCTGACTTTTCTTGTTTTTGGCCCATGGCTAGGAGTCATGCTCAGTGAAAATCTAGCTGTAAGTTGTTTCATTCACTCCGCTGATTAGGGAGCCAAGATTGTCCCATTTCACTACACAATAATTTCTCCTGGTAAATTATCTTGTCTGAGGAACATAATCTGATCAGAGAACAAACATTACTGATATAGAAAGAACTTTAGTAGATTATATTTTTATTGGTATCTCTAACGGATGGTGTAATAATATAAGTTTTGGTATTAGAGTATTCATGGGCTTGAATCTAAATATTCCCATTGGTATAAATGTTTTACATTTTTCAGTCGTGAATTACTAGTTCTAAAGAGTTGCATGTGCTTTAGCGTCTAAAAGTTCCCATTAACGTAAAGAAGATAAACTAGCCGTTCGGAATCTTCATTTTGTCTCGATTGAAGCAGCACCCTGCTTCTTTTCTTTTACCCATAAAGAACAATATTGTCTTCCACTAATGCCGAACGGCATTCTTCCTTCGAAACTCAACAAATTCTCACCGTTTCTTTCCTGGAGTTTCTTGAGTAAGCATCGGACACTTTTGGTCAATGTGAACCAGCCGGCAACCGCCCCTTAATTTCTATTCAAACAAGAAAAAGAAAAAAAAAAAGATGAATGAAAGCCTAAAGAGATAAAGGAAATTAAAGATGGAAAACGAGTAACCCTTTTCGTCTTTTACGAGAACGCAGTTTCTATCATTAAGCTTCTTTTGGCGCTATGCTTGGGGCACCCAGGAGGGCCATTTGGGCCTCCTTGATTCACATGGAATAGATTTACACCCCATCACATTTCCATGATGTTTGCTTTCAATCTAATTTTCTGTCACGCTAGCCCCATATGCACCCCAACTTCATCCTTAAAATAGATAGAGGAGAGGGTCCAATATGTGTAACTTTTAATTTCTTTATATGATCATGCAGAGGATGGTGGGCTATAATCTTCATGGTGGAAGGTGACATTTCGAGTAAAGAAATTAAAATGGTGAGTCGAGCACATTAAATTTGTACTCACCAAGTCACTATTCTGCCATGTTTGTGACCTCTTGGGTCGACCTATACCAAGAAATAATGTCTATGGAGTACTTGATTTATATGGGTAAAATTGTAGCTACTATATACTCGCTCCAATGAATTGCCGGGGACACCTTTGCCCGTTTTCTTTTCCTGTTGCAGGGATAGCGTGCCAGAAAAGCGATGGATTGGGCTAACTTCCGAACTCATGTTTGGCAGGGTGAAGGGAGACCCTGCACAAATTTGGACTGAGGTTCCATACTAAAACAAAGAGTTTGGGAGAAAAGGGTTTTGCTTGCAAGTCACTTTTAAGCATTCGATTTAGTAATCATCTTGAGAAGGGTGAATTTCAGCTGATTGACGCACAATAATTCAAAATATTCTTTAATAATTAACTTGAGTTTATACTTTATAGACTTAAATGGCTGAAATTAAAACTAAAACAAAAAAGAACAAAGATTTTCGTGAAGCATTATTGAAGATCAAAGAGATTGGAAGCCCATGAAAAGCAGGCTTCTTACTTTTGACATGATCTTACCTACAGGTTGTGAGGAGGTTATTTTATTGTATTCTCAAGTTTTTTATGAAAATCCTTGGCTATACTACAGCATTTTTGGACTTACTCGAATTTCAACATATTCGGATTGAGCCGGCATTGGAAGTGGATGCCACTCATATAGTAGTGATCGCATTATTGTTTCAACTAAAACAAAAATGATTCCCAACCCTTTGTTCCTTCACTTCAAACTTAATAATTCTATACCCTATGTATTAATTTCATTAGAAACAATTTGGCAACTCCAAATATTGTGCCAACATCTGCCTCCTTTGCAGGTTTTTGGGCTAACAGGACCTGAATTGGAATGAAGAATACCTGCCATTTGTCGACGAGAAACAGAGCTGATAGAAGGGTGATGGAAAAAGTAGCAGACAGAATAAAAAGAGAAATGGTTGGGTAACTAGCTTATATTTAACAAACTCTACCGAGCCCGAAGAACTTGAAGAACAAGATGCAGCCGAAACGTAGTTAATTACAAGTGTCACTGTTTCCAACTCAAACAGTAGATTGCCTAGTTGAAAAACGATTTTGGTTGACCCCATCCCGCGCTCTCTTTTTCCCTAGTTTATGTATCTTCTTTTGATAGGAGAACAACTCTCAATTACTCTCTAGCACCATTTAACTAGATCCTTATTAATTAATTTATATTTAAGATTAATTAATTTATATTTATCAGATTATGATAAGGATTTAAATTTACAAACTTTTTGAAATTAGAAGATTAAATGAGAGAGCAGAAAAAGCTATAGAAACCAAAATGTTTTGCACGACGAAATGGTGAACATATAGGATGGTACATTTGTAAATAAATTGAATAACGACGGAAATAAGATAATATTCTGGATCATAGTAAGGCCTTCTGAAACCCATTAATGGTAGTAGTAACATCTGAGATAGGGAGAGCACAAAATAATGATACATGCATAGTTGCAGCTGATCCAAAGGCGATATCAGCCTTCATTCAAAAGGGAATAGCTTACCCATTGTGCCAAACAACACTAGATTGCCTAATATTGCTAACAGTTGAAAAACGATTACTCATGCTCTCTCTTATCTTTCTTCTCTAGGAGTAGAACACTTAAATACTCACCACCACACATAGATGAGCTAATTTAGCTAGATTGCTATTATTTAATTTAAATTTATCAGATTAGATATTACAAATTTTTTGAAATTAGATTATATAGATGAAATGTAAATTAATAACAGGATAATAATAAACCGATAATTTATTTATTTATTATTTTAGATAAACAATTTTAATACCTATATCCCATTCTTAGTCTAATTCAAGTTCACATGAGCTTCAACACAAGTCCAGAAAGTTCTTTCCCGTGCCATGTTGCCATTAGGTTCTGCAGATTCCAGAATAACCACTGCAGACATTGCTATGAATGATAAGATCATCATCATCATTATTAAATTTATACAAGAAGACTTTCTCTCTAAATGTATTATATGACAACGTCTAGGTTTCTGCCAACAATTTTTGAGAATGCCAGTAATACATCTTTGTGATCTGGTCATGCTGTCAGAGCTTTGCAGCTGCATCTTGTTTCAACTGACATATAATTGGAACGTCAGAAAAATTTTCCCACATATCCTGAATCATGTTTGGTAAGTGTTCTTCCTATGTCATCTATGGAATATCAACGTTCATGCTGTGTTTAATTTCCTCATATGCCTCTTGAAGACCATCAAGCTCATTTGATACCAACCCCATTCCTTCACTAAAGCACTAAAAAGTTTGACCAAAATTCTTCCAAGACTAGGATAGCCCTCGTCCAGAGCCCATATTTTACGTAATTGGCATGTCCTATGTCCCACCGCCATGAACAAAAATGGTACAGAGGTTGCTGCACGAAGCAACTCTTTAACAAACCGCATACTGCAAGAATCTGCAAAGCCATCAAATTCCACCTGTACCAGTATCAAGACTCTTCTCTCCAACATACATGATTCAACATGGGTGATCTAACCAGAGTTTTGAAAATTTTCTGTTAAGATAAGCTAAAAAATTTAATAATAGTCAGACTCAAAGTTATACTTTTTCCACATTGACAGATACCACGTAGAGTTATTTTTCTCCATGCTTTGGAAATTAAGGATCTTCAGCCTCTGTCATATGGAACCCTACAGAGCAAGCTAACTCCCGGATTCTTAATCAATGCCTTCTTCTGCATGTCTAATCTCAATGCTTCCGCATCCTGAAACCTACCGACTGATGCATAAACATTAGAAAGGAGCACAACTTCATCTGATTCCCTTGGCTCCAGTTCAAGAACCTTCCTTGCTGCAAATTCAGCTACCTCCACATTACCATGAAGCATGCAGCCACTAAGCAAAGCCCTCCAGGCATTAGGACCAATCCCTATTTGACTAACAATCCCGCTTGCATCAGATAAGCAGCCTGCTCGTGCAAGCAAGTCAATGATACAGCCATAATGTTCTTGGATAGGCCTTATTTTATCATCTTCCACCATCTTATTGAAAATCATCAGGCCATCATTTATCAGTCTTGCATGACTACATGCATTTAATATGGACAAATAAGTAGCACTATCAGCATCTTCCATGCCTTCCCTCATTTCATGGTATAGAGCAAGGGCAGTTTCTCCTTGGCCATTGATACCATACCCATTTATAATTGCATTCCAAGAGACTACATCTTTAAGATAACCCATCTCCTTGAAGACAAGGTAAGCAAGTTTCATGTTGCCGCATTTTGAATATGCTGATATCAGAGTATTTTGAACTAATCTATAAGAGGAGAATCCAGCTTCAAAAGCACAACAATGAAGCTGCTGGCAGAGCACAAAATCAGCCATATCAGAGGAAGCTGTTAAAGCACCCATCAGCATTACTGAATCTGGGAGATAGTATTCTTCCAGTCTAAATTTAATAAAGAGATTAAGAGCCTCTCTTGAGAAACCATTTTGCACATATCCTGAAACTATTGCTGCCCATGAAACTAAACTCTTCTGAGTTGATTGATCAAACAAAATTCTTGAAGAATCTACGTCACCACATTTAGAATACATTGCCATAATTGAGTTCACAAGTGGAAGCTCTGATACAAATCCACAAACAACAGCTTGAGCATGGGTTTGTTTTCCTTTCCTCAGATCTCCTAAGATTGCACAAGCTGAAACAAGATTCATAAAAACTATAGCATCATAACTGACCCCACTATCCTTCATTTTGCAGAAAAGCTCTAGAGCATCAGTTGTATACTCAAGGTTTACCAACAAACCAATCATTGTTGTCCAACTGATGACATCTTTGAGTTCCATCCCATCAAAAATTGTTGTCGCAGCATCCAAATCCATCAAACAAGAGTACATGTCAAGTACCGAATTATTAACTCTTATATCTGAACCAAGACCAAACTTAACTACCAAACCATGGATCGATTTGCATACATTTCTCAAGCCTAAACCAACACCACCCTGAATGATAGATAATGCAGTAGCTACATTAGGAACCAAACCACACTTCCTTAGCTTCTTAAACAGTAAAACAGCCTCTTCAAACAGCTCGTTGTTTACAAAGCCTGCAATCATAGCATTGCAAGAAACCAAACCCGGGCTCTGCAGTCCCTCAAATATTTTATATGAATCGGTTATATGTCCGCATTTCGCATAAGCATTAAGCATTGCGGTGCATACAACTAAGTCCAAATCTAATCCACATTTCAAAATTAGTCCATGAATCGATTGCCCCAATTGCAAGTCCCGAATGCCAACAAGAAGACCAACAACGGTGAAAGAATTTGGAAATAAACCCGAGTTTCGCATATGCGTATATGATTCCATGGATTTCATGTGATGCCCATTTATTGAATACCCGTGAATCAGAATGGACCATAAAACTACGTTTCTTTGGGGAATTTGACCGAACAATTTCTCTGCTTCTTCGATTCTCCCAGCTTTCAAGTGGCTGCTCAAGAGTTTGGAGGCATTATATGAATTAATGCATGGAGAAGAAGGTTTGAAAGAAGTAGAGAAGCTATTGAAATGAAGAAAAGCAGATGGGTGTTTCCTGATTTTGCTTAAAATCATGGAAATCCTAGGCGTTGAATTTAAAGATTTGGACTACAGTAGTGAAATCCGTTTAAAAACTTATTTATCAAATTCTTTAACTACTATTACTTTCCTTTAAGCCGGCTCAACTCTCCACCCTCCGCCGCTTAAGTCTTTTATATCTATCTATATTATAATGATCTCTTTATCTATAATATTTAAAATACTATATTTTTAGCAGATATTCATATAATATAACATGGCTAATATCTGGACCTGTTGGACCTTTTACTACTAGTACTTCTGTTTTAAACCGGCTTAAGTCTCAACTATCCATGCCTAAGTTAACCGAGACATTTGTTTTTCGCTTTGCACTTTCACAGATAGTTGAATAATGTACAGTTCTATGGAAGCCGACCGACCCACCATGGACCGCTCTATTTGTCTCTGGTAAGCTTTAAATATGAACGTAGATAGAAAAGTCAAAGCAACCGAAACACGGCCGCTTGTCCGTTTGTCAATAAATAAAATCCCACTTCCTTTCAAATGACAGTTAGCTAGACACCGGGGACAGTTAAGCTGCCACGGTGGTGACGCGGCTTCTCCTAGTACCGCCACGTGCTGCACGTCTATCCAGGACCAGGACCTAACGTACACGCCTTTGTGTAGTTTTTGTTTTACTTCGTCCTTAAGACTGTCCCACCTTAAATTCTCTCCATATCCAAAGCCAAATCCGAGAAACTGAATACAGAAAACAGGGCTCAGAAATCCCAAACAGATCGAGGTCAAGTAACCAAAGAAAGAGATCTATGTCTTCTTCTTGTTCTCCAAAACCCTTTCAAAACCCTTCCTCTCTTTACCCACAAGTTGATCTGTCAAACCCAGATGCTACTTCATTCTCCTCTTCTCCGTCTCCTTCTTCTACTTCGTTATACCCTTCCATTGACGTGAAAGATTTAGCAGAAAACCTCTTTCCGGAAGACGACACTGTTTTACACACCCATCAAGATTCTCAAGAACAACTCCTCCTCAAAATCCCCGGCGCCATAGTTCACCTTATTGAACGAGAAACCAGCGTAGAGCTCGCTTGCGGTGAGTTCTGTCTTGTTAGTCTCCTCCAAGGTGATAACGTTGTTGTTGTTTTTGCTCGTGTTGGTGATGATATTCAATGGCCTTTGGCTAAAGATGAGCCTGTAGTTAAGCTCGATACGTCCCACTATTTCTTTACTCTTCGAGTACTGTCAAATGGATCGTTTGAAGATGGTAAAGATTCTAAAGAAAGCGAGGAGGTTTTGAACTATGGCTTGACAATAGCTGCAAAAGGGCAAGAGGGGTTGTTGAAGGAACTGGATAGAGTGTTGGAAACTTACAGTTGTTTTTCGGTTCAAGAAGTGAAAGGTATAGGGAATTGGAATGTTGTGGATACGAGAAATGTGGCGCCCGAGGAGTTGGACAGAGGGGACAAGAGGGAGTTGATAGTTGGGAGTTCAATGGCGTATTGGACTACTTTGGCGCCTAATGTTGAAGATTATAGCGGATCTATAGCGAGGGTGATTGCGTCAGGGTCAGGATACGTTGTAAAAGGGATTTTGTGGTGCGGTGATGTTACTGTGGATAGGTTGAAGTGGGGCAATGAGTTCTTGAAAAAGAGGATGAAGCCAGGTTCAACATCAGAGATTAGTCCTGGGGCCTTGAGAAGGATGAAAAGGTTTGTTTCTTGATCATATCACTATAAGTCTTTTTTTGGTTTTAGCCTTCCCTGTAGACACTCTGTCCATTTCTGTCATTCTTTGTCTAGCAGGTAGTGATGATTTATGTAACTGCTTGAGCTGCTTAAATTTTTTTTTATCTTTTTTAGAAAGGTTAGGAGCTCCTGAAACAGAATTATAGTTTGGCTAAATTAATGATTAATAATGAACTACATAACCATCTGCAATCTGTGTGAAAAATCTTCTCAAGTATCTTTGGGATCATTGAAGAAAAGTTTGCAACAAGGGTGTGGTACGATCACTGCCGTCGCTAGAAATTAAAGGACTAATTATAATTAAGTATCATGGGAGTTTTATGTAATTGTCTGATGCCATAACAATTCTAGCATGCCTTTAATTGTTAAGTTAAATTTTAGAGAGATATCTTATTCTGTCTGTGGAGGACAAATGTCAGTACATTCCTCTGTAATTCTTTGATTAATGAGTTTTAAGTGATGAGGGATAGGATTCTGCTATATATCTTGATAATGTTGTTGTCGACTCTACATTTCTTTGTGGCCTATTTGCTTATTAAAGTGTGGCAGCATCTAATGGATATTGTGAACATTTCAGGGTTAAGAAATTAACAAAGGTGTCCGAGAAAGTGGCCACTGGAATTCTTTCTGGAGTAGTTAAGGTGTCTGGATTCTTCACAAGTTCAATTATCAACTCCAAAGTTGGCAAGAAATTTTTCAACCTGCTGCCTGGAGAAATTGTTCTTGCTTCCTTGGATGGATTTAGTAAGTTCTTTCTTGCCATAAACTTTTTCTTATTTGTTATGACTCTGATGATGCTTTTCTCTGCTAGGATGCCAATTCCATGCCTGCTATTTCTATGCATCCAAATGAGGATAGCAATATGTTTTATTACTTAGTAACTATAACTACATGTCTGACCCTTCTCTAATTGCAATATGCTTTTCGTTTATTGGTATGTCTCTGTTATGTTTATTCATATAAAATTGCAGCATGGTATCTGCTTATTATAGTATTCTTACTATCTTCTCCTTGTATGTCCATTTAGATAAGGTTTGTGATGCTGTTGAAGTAGCTGGAAGGAATGTCATGTCTACCACATCAGTTGTGACAACTGGACTTGTTTCCCAGAGGTATGTTCCTAAAAATAAAAGTTGATTTGAATTCCACTTGTCATCAATATGATCATCATGTTTATGCCACTGATAAGGTTATTCATCCAAAGTTGAGTGCAAGACAGAAGGGCTTAGATATGTGGACCTAGATTGGCTAATATGTAGTGTCTAATCCAAATATGTATCCCACTTAAATTGGAGAAACAAGACATGTTGATTGTGGTTTCGTTGTCGTAGGTATGGAGAAAAGGCAGGACAGGTGACAAATGAAGGGCTTGATGCCGCAGGACATGCCATCGGAACTGCTTGGGCCGTCTTCAAGATAAGAAAGGCTCTTAACCCAAAGAGTGTTCTCAAACCCACAGCCCTTGCAAAAGCTGCTGCACAGGCAAATGCTGCTGATTTGAAGGCCAAAAATAAGAAGTAAAACTCTATAATATATGAGACAGTTAGGAATTTTTGGAGAGATGTTTTTAGGACTGCAGTTTCTTAATGGTTGAGCTGTTTCTTAAAATTCAAAAAGGCGATTGTATTTAATGTTGTTTGTTTCTTTATTCTTTGCAGTAAATGTTATGAGTTCGTCAATGTTAAGAGTCAAGCTCCTTTGCCCTGATTTAAATTCTGACGATTGTTATTCTGTACTTGAATGTGTGAAGTTGTACAGTTATTAAAGGGCTATATACCGAAGTGTAAATGTCAATGTGATATAAAGCAATAATGTAGCTGAATTAAGAATTCTTCGAATCTGGCAATTTAGCCTAAGCCTATATCAGCAGAGGTGATGAAGAAGCTTCTTTGTTCTTGCTAATTGATATCTGCAGGGAAGTGGACACATCTTAATCCTTGCAGAATTTGGTTTTGATTACATTGGGCACCTCACAGAACCATTAATTTGTTGTTCTTGCTCACAAGTCACAAAACATGGATTGAGTACATACTATATCTATATTCCTACCATACTGACTTAAAATTTCTTGGACGATCCTGACTCTTAGTAACTAGTTTTAAATGGCTTGTAAGTCTTGAGATCCAGAATAACTCCAGCCACAGATCCAACTGCAGCAGCCACTGTTACAAAGAAACAAGCTACACTAATTATTTGAAGGGCAAGCCACCTGGTTGTTCCCCGCCCAATCATCTTCTGAGATATATACATCTCAACGGGGAAATAAACAGTTAATGGCCAGAATCCCATTGCCCCAAGGAATCCAACGACATCATTGAAAAATGGCATGAGCATGGCTATAACAGTTGTCATCACAACAAATATTGTCCTCCATAGTAGGCGGAAGAGGTTGAGCTGGTATACACCGCCAAAGGGAGTGGGTATGTCATATTCTGCTGTCACGAAGCCACTCTTTGGCCACATTTGAGCACACCATTTTTCAACAAATGCAAATAAGGGCTGGCAAAAGACCTACATTTCATGTTTATACAACTTAGTTCTGATTAAAAGCTAAAACAGAAATTTCAGGAGGTCATATTAGCTAATCAAAGCTAAATTTATTGGTGAACCTGGTAATTCTCTTTACTATGTGTTTTGACAGAGCATACCTGATATGCGCCAACGAGGTGGACAACAATCGCTAGATTTGCAATATCTAGCAACCAGTAGGGGTTGTAAAATCCAAACCCAGTCAAAAGATTTCCAGGTGCGAGATCACCAAAGGCTGCATATCCCATGCAACCACAGAATAAGTAAAACACTGTTGTTACAGTGATGCTGAATAAAGTAGCCTTTTTCATTGTCTTGTATTCTGCTGGAGGAGATTTTACTGTATCCTGAAGATGCACAGGCCATATTATAACTAACGGCAACATTTCTATGTTATACACTACTTAATATTATCCTCCACATATATACCTGAATTTCAATAAGGATTATAGAATAGGAGTATGCAAAAGCAATAGCTCCCAGAGCTTGCAAAGTCCTCCATATCTTCTGCATGCCAGTAACTGTGCCAGCATGTGTTACTGTACCTATGCTTATTCCCAGGAGGCTTCCATCAATTTTCCCGTGTTCTGCAGAAAAGAATTTGAAACTCGTTTCTATTTATATAAATGAATGCTAGATGCATGGTGACAACGAAAAGCTATTCATGTACTTTGTTTTCAATTCTGGTAGTTAATGAAGGAAAAATAAAGTAAACCATTTTCCGAACTTTTTCAACTCTTCAAAAGTGGGCTTAACAGCTGCTGTTGCAGTCAAGGGAGCATAAATTACTATCCATGTTTATACCTGCAACTTTTCCAATGCCAAGAGCAAGGCCAACCGTAGAATATGTAAATGACATAATAGCTGCAACTATGGAGAGCCACCATACATGACTAAAGTCCGGTATCTGAGAAAAAATCACTTCCACAATTCCAAATGTTATCATATACCCGTTACTTGACATATGACATGGATCTGTCCCACCACTCTTGTGCAAACAGTTTGCTCTCTTGATCGCCCTAAACAAGCACAGTTACATACACTCGATTTTAGTTCATAGCATGTAACCATCTAAATAGGATTATATGCAAGCATTTCAAACTAGTGAAATTCCCATAGCAGAAAAGAGATGATGATGTTAGTCAAGATAACTCACATCATACTGACTGATGCAGCTATTGTATACCCTACTGCGACACCAAACAAATTCAGGTATTGGATCCATCCACATAACTTGACCTTCCATCCTCCTGCAATATCAAAATATATCAATAATATTGGCATCAAACTTTTATAATGTCATGATTTTATCATGATAACAATACTGTGAAAACTTTTAGTTGCATGATAATCATATACAGTAGCATTAATTCTGTTACCTAAGTGTGCCTTGACAGCCTCCATGTAGGTATAGTTTCTTTGTCCCGTGATAGGGTCACCACACCTATAACACTCTGTAAGGAGGTTGGAAGTATAGAGATTGACGAAGGCGAAAAGTACCAGGACAGTTGGCCCTGCAACCCAACCAAGCTGCGCTATGGCCCATGCCAATGATAGAACTCCTGACCCTATAACAGCAGTTATAATATGCGATGTTGCAGTCCAAAAAGTTCCTGCATCCGCATAATTTTTATAGTTTCAAGGACTTGAAAGAAACAAAAGGTAATAAGCATACTAGAGCTCCATATCAAGCATGTCATAATGTTACCCGTTCTCTTCAAGCGGCCGTCATCATCAAAACACTTGGAATAGTTGGCTTGAGGGTCCATTGCTTCACTCTCATTCTGAGCTTTAGGCTGAACTTCTACTTGCAAGTAGTGCCTGATATCATGCCTTTCTTCGGTCTAAAAGAGAACATAATGTTAGAAGAGGTGAAGAACAACAAAATGAAAAAGTAAGTGTTTCGATGAAGTAGGAGATAGGGCAGCATATTACAACGCCATGGTTGATCCTGCTAGGCATAGTCCGACTCCTCTGCAACATGGTTGTGCAGATTAATGGGAAGATAAAAATATTGCACGGTAAGAGAGGGAAGGAGAGGGGTACCTAGGGAAAGCTAAGAAGAAGCAGAAGATGGTGGATGTTTCAGATTTGTATAAAGGACCTTTTATAGGAGAGAAGATAGTGAACACAGTCAGCTGGTTCTATAGGTCCAAAGGTACTGATGAACAATCGTGCATGTAACACGTTTTTCCCTCTCTGTCCATATCCTAAACACTCCTCAGTTTTAAACCAAAGTACTTAAACAAATTAATTAACTCAGGAAGCTATCATTACCCATTCATGTCACAATTCCTACCTTTCTCCATTAAAATTAAAGTTTCAGCAGTTTTAATTAGTGGTCTAAATTGTCTCTTTGATATTGTTGTCTTTTAAGAGATTAATACGACCCTGCTTTTAAACATATTGACTTATGGAATCATAAGGCTGAACATTAGTGCATGACATCTTTAATTAGCCCAAAAAAAAAATAAGTGTATGATATACTGGCAAAAAATGGCCACAATATCTATAAAATATCTATGAACATCTATAACAAAAGTTTAATCATAAGCCTGGTTTGGCTTGGTGACACCATCTGCTTCTAGGACAAGTGTTAACAGGAAAGAATTTTCCTTTATTTAAGTTTTGGGACAATCTGTTGTATTTTCCTTTTCATCCCTGCAGCCTTTAGATCATTGTCAGGAATATACGGGGCAGAAGGTGCAAGACTGTTTAATAATCAATGAAGCAGATAACCGACAGGGACAACTTAGCTTGAGAAACTGAAAAAATTTTGAAACTACACAGGAGAGGTTGACCATCGAATCAATGGGACAACTTTCCTCTTAGCATGGCTTTCTAGTTTCTAGGAAAGATAAGTGTTGTCCTGATTGCTCCAAGACTGTTGCTTTACACTAAGTGTACGTTATTTCTAACTACGTAATGTGAGTTTTCTTATTTAATCCAGTTGGTGAGCTGTTGCAATGGCTTTGGATGCTAATAACTTCCCAAATCAATTCTTTATGGCATCCAAAAATTACAGATCACCTCTATTTCATTGTCTCTCTTTCTTTTTTTCATTATTGTTGCTGACTCATCGATGTTTATTGCTCTCCCATGTTGTACAACTCCAAGAAGTTAACGTGAGCGTCAGGACAGATGATCACCAGCATGCCACGATTGGATTCTGCTGCACAGGGAAGTTGCTGGCTTTGGCTCAGGCCATTGCCTCTCTTTTCTCGATCCGTTCATCTTTGGCAGGTTATTGCTTTCAGTTTTCCAAAGTCTAAGAATAATATTCCTAAGTTCAATCTTTCCTACTTTGTCGGTCTTGAAACAAATACTTCATTCTCTTTTGTCACAAATTGAAGAATCTGGATGGCTGTCGAAGGAACATTTTAGCCAAGGATTTGGTTCAGCAAGATCTCTTTGTTAGTTAGTTGTTACATCCAAAGAATTCCAGTTGACTCATGATTATTCAGGCTTAAGCCTAACTGAGTTATTTTTAGGCACATGAATCTCCATTTTGGTTAAATGCTTGTGGGAACAAAATTCATCCTTGTATCTGGCTATACCTACCCCTAGCTCATTCTGCATTGTTATGGTATCTGTTTCTTTCCCCTAGTGGATGGTGGTTAAGGTTCATTTTCATTTGATCTGATTGAAGTGGTAGGATGTCAACTTTCCACTATGGGGAAATGACTAGCATACAAGCACACTAATCCTTTAGCCACCCCTTTTTCTTTTCTTGTTTTCCATTACAAGGAGATTGGTATTTAGATATTAGACAACTTGAACTGAAATAAACCTTCCGAAGACTTGCTTCGCAGGGAACGTGGAGTGCCTTTCGTTTTCGGCAGCCCCCCTTCCTTTATCGAAGACTAATCATAAAAAAAAGAATCTTCTCTTTCCCAAAAATGCTTGCTGACACCCCCACCACAAGCTACAGCTCCCACAACCTGCTCATTCCTAACCTCTCTTGCATCCTCCTTAATACCCTTCTCTTTTCTTGCTGGGATATTCAAATATTTACGCAAAGTTGGATTGATAATTAATTCCGATAACGGAGCTCCCACATTTTGTTTCTGATTATCAAGGCGAGATCGTTTGTTACATATAAAAGAAGAGCTTTCTTTTAACCATTTGGTAATCATCTTAGCTACTTAATGTGTGCATTTAACATTAATCTTCCTATGCATTGACATTGACTCCTTTACAAGAACCGCCATGGCCTGATGATGACATAGCTTCTCAACTTACAGGTCAACTTAAAGAAGTCAGAACTCAGAACAGAGTGAGAGCACTTCTCAATTTACTCGGCCCCTTGACTTGGACCACTCAATCCACGGCTTCACAAACATAATTTAAGTAAAAACGTTTTGACATATACAATTTCCTGCTTACTCATCTATTTAAAACAAAACTACAAGAATTGAGCAGTACTTTTCAGAATGCCTGTTGCGGAAGTAAGAAATAAAGCATATATACAGGCAAAACACCAACTAAAGTTAAGTGGGTGTTGAGAGTCTCGATGGCATCCAAGGGGTATCAGGGGTGGAGGAAGATTAATGGTAGGCACTAGTTCATTTTGTTTTGGGCCATTGAAACTTGAAATGAAACAACTAGAACTGGTCTGGGTATTGGTTCCAAACGTGATTTCTCTATCGCACTAAACTTTGAAAGAGAGCTGACCCAAGTCCACTCTCCCACCGTACTGTCCCACACTGGTATTTCGTGCGAAAATTGATGTACCCTTCATCTCCAAGTGTTTTTCTTATTCTTTTGTTGATCATTGTCGTTAAGATTTTTAAGTGCTGTCCACTTTATTTTTTTTTTCAACCAAAAGTGGTTTTTAATTTATTAAAACCACTAAAATTCAGTGAAAAGATGAGCCAAATAATCATCCATTTTAATAACAGACGCCCATAGAAGTCTGGTAGAAAATCAAATAAACAAAAAATACTGCATCGCAGTACATCAATAAAGTCAAATAGTGCCCATGACTATACATTAGACAGGATTAGAGATGAAACAAAAATGGGTGCTATCATCATGCATCTAGACCAGTGCAGCACTGCTAAAGATGTGCAGCTCCATGAGATTGTCAAAAGGACCATCCACAAGGCATTGGTTAATTTGAAGACCATTGTTAACATGTTTAAAAAAAAAAGACTAAAGCAATCAATTCTTCTATGATTGGATACTGTGACATGTGATCAGCTTGCAGCTCTCGGCTGCCTACAACAGAAGTGAAGTACCAGAGTCATGTACACCACAGTATAACACGGCTCCACATCTGGCATCTCCAATCACAAAAAACCTGAACATACAAAATCAGATAAGCAATTTACAAAACAAATATCAAGCACCGAAATGCCCAGCACAAACTGATATAAAGCATGGTACCAAGCGTGAAGACCGCTACCAAGCATATCCACTTTATCTTTAGCTAACGACAGGTAATGCTACTATAGGAATAGTTCATCAAATTATTTTCCCATTCTATTCAGTATTATAACATTTTTCCACTACAAACTAACAAATTTTACAATTATGAATAATGGCTCTTTTAACTTCTTATAAAAAAAAAAACCATATATATATATTCCTTTTAATTTCAGTCAACTCCAATGATTTTTTTTTCACAAATAATTTTTTTAAATAAGACTATTATTTTATACATTTATGATAAAAAAAACAGCGTTATTACTTCTTAATAATGATTTCTTTTCCATGCATAAGGAAATAATATTTGATTGGTATATACACAAATTAGTGATATTTTATTTCACTTAATTATATAATGTTTTCATTACATTAACTTTTTCACTTATAAAAAAGAAAAATTTATTTTAATTCATGACTATCTCGATCTAATATTATATATATATATGAGATTCATGATATTTTTCTTTACTCAATTGCTCAAGATTTCATATTAATAAAGAATTATATAAACTCTCATACTACTTATCACGAACCCATACTTCTACTCAAAAAATGTATCTATTCCGTAAAAAAAAATTTTATTTATAAATCAAAATTCATTCCATCTCTTTTTAATTATAAGATTCGTGACATATGTGTGTGTATATATAATGCATCTATATTTTATGTTTAAAAAATATTTATTTGAAAGAAATACATATATATGGTATGTATCTGAAATCTAATCTTTTTATACCAAAATGACATCAACTCAAATTTCAAAATTTTTTAAAATTAATATCTTAAACCACTAAACTAAATGAGTTTGTGTTCGTAATGTATCTTATTTCATTCATTTTGCAATAAATTGAAATATTGAAACGTAAATTTCTTTTATATTATTGATACCCATGCAATCACCGGTGTTAAAAATTTATTGAACGAAATTAAAAAGAAAAAGGCCAGTAGAGAAAACGACGACGCTTCAAGGATTTGCACAGCACAGTGTGTTCTTGGGCTCTTGGCTTGTCCTCCAAGTTCTTTCACCCAAAAATACTGCGTCTTACTCTTTTGGAATTCAGATCGCAAAGCAAAAGCGAAGGCAGATCCTTCGACGTAGCTTTTTGTTTCTTTTGGTGAGAAAAGAGAACAAACAAGAGAGAAGAAAACTAAAGAAACAAGGCGTGATTATATAGAAAAAGCATAGACAAAAATGGCGAGATATGATCGAGCAATTACAGTTTTCTCCCCCGACGGGCATTTATTCCAGGTGGAGTACGCTCTCGAAGCCGTCCGCAAAGGTAACGCCGCCGTCGGAGTACGTGGAACCGACATCGTCGTCCTCGGCGTCGAGAAAAAGTCCACCGCCAAGCTCCAAGACTCCAGGTACGAATTTCCATTTACACATCATATTTTCTCGTATTTTTCAAGGTTTTTTACGACTTAAAATTTATGTTAATTTGTTGAAATGTTATCCTTTTGTTCATTTCGTGGGTTTTTTTTCCTAATTAGATTAATTGTGGAATCCTCTAATTATCGTAGCTTCGACGGAAAATCACCACGTTTTAATTTTGAATGCTTGCAATAATAGGATTTTCTAACTTATATATCCTCACTATAATTTATTTATTACTTTTATTTACAGAACTGTTAGAAAGATTGTGTCTTTGGATGATCATATTGCTCTGGCTTGTGCGGGTTTAAAAGCAGACGCTCGCGTCTTGATTAATAGGGCTCGAATTGAATGTCAGAGTCATAGGCTCACAGTTGAGGATCCTGTAACTGTCGAATATATAACACGATACATTGCTGGTCTTCAACAGAAATATACGCAAAGCGGTGGTGTGAGACCCTTTGGTCTTTCCACCTTGATTGTTGGTTTTGATCCGTACACCGGTGTTCCTTCTCTTTACCAGACTGATCCATCGGGAACATTTTCTGCTTGGAAGGCTAATGCAACTGGGAGAAACTCTAACTCGATGAGGGAGTTTCTGGAGAAAAATTATAAAGAGACTTCTGGGCAAGAAACAGTAAAGTTAGCCATTCGCGCTTTGCTTGAAGTAAGTTTTGCTTTTCACATGTGCATGTATACCTTGGACATAGTCATTTTAGTTAATGTCCCAAATGTGACTGCTTGAACTATTTGCTAAGTTGGATTTACCTATCTAGAATGGAGGGCATGTTCTATTTGCTTCGGTTTTTTATGTTGGTAATTTGTAGATATGAGATGCTCTTTTAAGCAAGGCTGCATGCAGGGTGTTTAATAAGCATTCTTTAGTTATACTTATGATTAAAAAATGCATGTGAAACCATTTCTTTTTATCAAATATATTGTTTTATGTTAGAATTTATTGCACTATCTGTGGGATTCTCAGATTGAGTTGTCTCCTAATTTCTCAGCCCAAGGCCAAATACTTTGTTCAAATTACCAATATTTGGCCAAATTATCTCAGCTAACTAGTTTGTCTTAAGTGATACACTTCTTTGCCTGTTGAATAAGGTTTTGTCGACTTAGGGACATACACACTTGATGTTTAGATTATTATCTGGTTATGCCTAAGTAAAAGGGTTTTGTAGCATTTTAGGTTGTTTGCATGTAACTGCTTTATCTAGTGTTATAACTGTTTGTTCCTGTTAATGGGATAACATTCAAGCTTGGCTATACATGGCATGTGGCTTGAGTAGTTGAGTTGACCCTTAAATTCTAATTGGTTCTTCTGGAACCAGCTACCTGATGTAGGATGGAGTCACCACTAGTTCTAATTTGAGGTTTAACTACTATAATGATTTACAGAGGATTTCAGGATTTCGTTTTATGAGTTGTTGAACATGTGTTGCAAGGAAATTCCATGGGCCTAAAGAAAGAGAGGATGATCATTTTCTTTCGGGAGTCCACGGGATTACAGTAATGGATATAACTTGATGTAGAGACATTCATAAGAAAGCTCAAAAGCTACCAGAGAACATAATATTGTACTAAGCTGCAATTTAGTGCCTAGATTGCAATCATGATTCATCTAGAGATGCAGTTAGATTTCACATAAAATTCTGCCCATTGAGTTGGTTACTGATGTATAGTTGCTCCACATGCACCTGTTGTTTCGTCTGTAAAACTAATTGGTCCGGCCCCAATGGTGAATTGTCTGCTAATGGTTGATGATCATGTTTGCAAGAATCTTTGGGCAAAATAAATTGCCTGGCATAATCTCATTAATGCATTAATTCTTCTGTTTTGATATGTCTTTGATTGTAGCATGGTCTGAGAACACTTGTATTTCTATTTTACTTGTGTTAACCTGTGATTTATGCTTTTGGTTTCCTTTCTCTTTCTTTCTTTATTTGTTTTGTACAATTAGGTTGTTGAGAGTGGGGGAAAGAACATAGAAGTTGCCACGATGACAAAAGAGCATGGACTGCGTCAACTAGAAGAAGCTGAAATCGATGCCATTGTTGCTGAGATCGAAGCAGAGAAAGCAGCTGCAGAGGCTGCAAAGAAGGCCCCACCTAAAGAAACCTAGTTCAATTAGAATCCACATAAATCCTTGGCCTTGCCTCAGTTTGTCCTTCATAAGTTCTTCCTTGAAACGTTATTCAGTTATGTTGATTGGTCGGACATGTTGAATGTTGATACGTGCAAAACCTTACATGTATTTTGAGCATCATGCTTTTGCTGATAGTACTTGATTGTGTCACAAATAGAGTAACATCCAACTCTTTCTACGTTTTCCTTTCTCGTTGCACCCAATAAAAAAGAAGTGACAAATTCTTATCGATTAAAAACCTACTCTTTTTGAGTTTTGGGTGCTATCTATTACCAGTTTTAGAATCCCAGCAACTTACAGACCCAAGGCTGGTGTATTCGCCTTCTAGCAAAACTTCATATTTGGTTCTAGAAGTCAGAAAAATCATGCGCGTCTCCAGAAGGTTTTCTTGGAAAGACGTCCTTTTCCTACGTCTCTACTACCATCACTTGCCAGTCCGCTCTTGGTCCCTCAATTTCAAAGTGCAGTTCCTCTAATTGCCACAACCCTTTTTCGTGTATTCTCTTGAAAACATTGACTAAAATAAAATGCCAACTGTTCCAGGTTAACGTTTCTGTCGTGCCCACATCAGGAAAGACAGATAAAACGTTGGTGGCATGGAGCTTCCCCGTTGGCTTCTCGAGTCTTTTGTATGTTCATTTTGCAGCTGCGCCTCACTTTTGTCTATATTGGAATGATGGCTGGCCCATAAAGATAAACGGGTGCTATGTTTCAGGCCCAAGGATGGAAAATGGAGGGAGGAGTAGCTGCCAAAGTACTTTTGGGCTTTACCGGTGGAAAGAATGCAAGAAATTTTTCAGGCTCAGAAAAGATGGTATTCTAAGTTGTCAAGATTCAGAAGGACAATCATCATTGTGACCCAAATTAATAGGTAAGGTGGCCAATAAATCCGGCATCCAGTGCTTCAAAATTTAGAAACAGCAGTAGTTCTGGTTTCCACTCACAAGACCGCAAACATCAGTTAAACATGACAAACTATAATTTTCCGCGGAAAGGAATTTGTTCTTTGCAGGTCTCAAAAAGGCCTTTGGGCATTTTCCCGTGCAAATTCAAACCTTAGTGGATGAGAATCTGGGTGCAAGATCTTGTCAGGTTGGCCTTGTTACATTAAAGTTTACGACAGGAACCCTGAGATTTGGCAATCATGTTATCACTTTAAATCCCATTTGGCACATAGCTCATATTTAGCTGCGCAAAGTCTAATGCACCACAATAACAAACGAGATATTCATCAAGAAAAGCAAAAAATTAATGAGATGAAATTTGAAACAAATTTGATTGGCTTAATTTAACCAGTTGAATACGTTGAAAGAGCAAACGTAATTAAATAAAAATCATAAATAAATCAAGGATGGTCCTTTTTTGGTAAGGTTGCCGGATTTGTTGCCTTTTTCCATAGACTTGGAGCTTGGCCTACGGGCTACATCAAAAGTAGGAGGAACCAGCCTTTTTCCCTTCGGCTTCTTACCTTATTTATTAAGTGGGGGATGCCCATGTACGAAATGGGTGGGTGTTATTGGAAGTTGGAGGGGGCTTTGAATGTTAATGGCTAGTTACAGTGGGTCAATTAAAAGCGTTGCCTTGGTTCTGAGAAGACCTAATATCAAGCCAGTGATGGTCCCCTGGCGAACAAACTTCAGTTTGTGCCGAAAATGACCAAATTTAGCATGAATCCCAATCCATCTTTAGTGTGGAAATGTGGGAAGCTTAACCTACGAATCCATTGGTCCCCTTCTAGAAACCTGTTAGTTGTGAGAAGCCCTACCATATTTAATTCCTCTAATAGAAAAAGGTTGTGGAAAAGCATATCAGATTCACTAACCAAAACTTAAATAGGAGCTCTTAATAAATTAATCTTCATCATATGGTAGACACATTGCAATGTCTAAGGTTCTAGTTAGTGCTTTTTTTGTAGTAAAACTATGCAATGAGAAATTATTTGGTGGATGATGTGCCTGACTGGATTACTGTTCCCTCTTCTCTCTTTGCATAAATTTAGGAAGATAATGTTGCAAGATGTTGGGCAGGTAGGGAGATTTATGTTGACAACAAAGTGGAAAATATATCATGGGTATGATTCGAACGAGAGGAGGGCCCAAGACATTTAGTGCAAAAAACCCACAAATATATCTATATACATACGAGATGGTAGAGCTAAGTTCAGTGAAGAGGACAGATAGTTGACCCATATATTGTTGGAAGGAGGAGTCTTTTGCTTTTGGAATCCATCACCCTCAGACAAAGGGTGACTTCCACCTAACCAATTTGAACTCTATACATCTCAGCCACACACTGTCAAGTCTTTAATCTCTACCCCTCCCTCCCTCCCTCCCTCTCTCTCTCTCTCTCTCTCTCTCTCTTGCTTATCCTCTCTGATCATTATCTGGGGCATCTCACCAAACTCTGTTAACTTTTCCCACCAGCTGGGGTTTTGCTATCTTACGCCCTAGTGTAACATGCGCATCCTCCTCTTTTCTTTCTTTTTCTTTTTTTTTTGTCTCTCTTGTATTATTATCATCAACTAGGATGTTTTTAGTTTCACGTATCTTTATAATACAACAGAAATCCCTCCCTTATGGCACCTTACCATAATAATAAGCACGTCCAAATTAATATTTAAGTGTCTTGATATTTAAATATTCAATATATCAAAAAAAATTCGTAAAAGACGAGAGATGTATATTGACTTTTTTAAGTTTATGATAATATGAGAAAATGAAAAGTCAATTATCAAAATTTTATTTAGTTGTGGACTTGTGTGATTCCATTGCCAATTGACATTGCCGTGAGGCTTTTGGTTTTATTATTCAATTACGAATGTTCCAATGAAATATTAAGTCTTAACCATCTGGAATGTCTGAAAATACTTGTAAGCATTAATTTATTTTTTAACTTGGAATATAATATTTTTTATGCGGTGTAATTGATCAAATATAAAAATATTAACGTTCACATATACAATTAATTTTATGCATGAATCCATACAAAATGACCCATTCTTGGGTTGAAATTCAGTTCACAAATTTGAACTTAACAACAAACGGTGTGGATTGTATAACTTTAAATAAACCCAATGATAGCTGATTTTATGGTTTTAATTAAAAATTTATTATAGGATAAATCAATGAATTTAGAATTTAATAAATTCTTACAAATTCAAAATTTCGACATGTTTTTTCTATGGATGATAAAAGTGAATACCGTAATTATGTCTAATTACTTATTCAAGTGGACTAAGTACAATGTATGTGGAATTAGTTTGAACAAATGAAAATTGTTAATTATAGCCCTAATTGATTGGACCAACAATTAAATAACTAAATAAATATATCAAAGTCATACACTTATTGGGAAATGGCCAAATGAAACAAATTAAATTTAAAATTGATAGTATAAAACTTAAGCCACAAATTATCTATGTTGACATTTTAATCGAAAGAATTCTAGCTTGATTTCTTCAAACAACATAAACAATTAAGTTAATGAAGGTATAACATTCAAGTATTTAATTTATTAATTAGTATATAATTCTCTTATTTAAAGAGTAAAATTCGATTCTTCCTTCTCTCAATTAAAAAAAATTAATGAAAGTACAAAAAAAATTACTCCAAAGACTACAAATGAAAAAAATCGAGTTTAATTTGAGATTAAAATAGCCAATCATAACAAATTGTTAAAGTACAAATTGAATCTTATTACCCTTTTTCAACAAAATTGGAGCATAATTTTTTTTACACTAACACTATTACAAGAAGAAAAGAAATTTTATATTTTGAAATTATGTGTGCAATATAAAAATGAGTGAGATATATATAATATTAATTTTATTCATCATTTAACTTTAATTAATAAAGAGTCAATTAACTATATAATTTATACGTCATCTTTCAAAACACGTTTTACTTGTCAACTGGAACAAACGCAATAAATAGATTAAAAAAGGATAGTTTATGAGTCTCATCAAAAATATTTAAAATCTGATTGAAGTCCCATCAATATTTTTAGAAATAGATTTTTAATTTTGACTAATTAATTGCAACATGATAATAATAATAAAAACAGAGAAAAGGATAACAAGGGCCAGGGAAAAAGGGCAGAAAAGGAGATGAGGGGTGTGGGGCAGCTGAGCTGGAGATAAGAAAGAGGAGGAGGGTGTTGGATTGGGGCCCACAAGTGGCTTGCGAGCGGGTCCCAACGCCGCAACCTCGCACATGAGCCTACGTCCGACGGCTTCCAACCACCGCCCAAAAAGAGAGGAGTTGGTATCGTGTGGGATACAGACGTTTCCCACCCTTTTACCATACCCCCCCTTCTTTTCCCCCTAACCACAACTCTGCCATCCCATTTCCCCAAATTTTTCTATTTGTACAACAATAATTATTATAAATCACGTAATCAATTTTATTTATATTTTAGTCCCCCCACCCAAGATACATGCATATATTATCGTAACAAAATAAATAAAATATTTATTATAATTAGCATAATAATTGAATATAGACGAAAGTTAAAACATGATTCAATTTTGTAATTCCTATTCTTTTGATAAAACTTTCGAACATTAAAATTTAATTATTTTCATTTCATTTATTTACCTATAGTTTAAAAAAGCAAAATAAAAAAAAAAAGAAATTTACGTAGCTTATCATTCAACTAGATAACACCTTCTTCAATTTTTATAGTAATTTAAAAAGTTTTTAAGATTTTATATTTGATATATGAGGCTATGAAACCAAAAGTAGATCAAATTCATATCTTGAATTGAATGAGCATAAGTTGCTTTCAAAAGCATAAGGTAGTTCTTAAGAAAAGAAGGCAAACCTACCATTTAGAAGTGGTACCATCTTTATGGAGCACAAACTTCTGTTGCTTCCATTCATTAATCCACCATGTACTTTTTACTAATCTCATAATGTCCAACCATAGGGCAAAAAATTTAAAGAAAAATCAATTTTAATTATAGCCTTATGATTGTTGAATTTGCGTTTAATTAGCCTAAAACGATCATGATCATTTTGAAAAAATATATATGTATAATAATTTTGTTGTATCTTTCTTCATCAAATTCCTCTATTAGAATGTCGCAAAAAAAGAAAAGAGGATGGAATGATTTGAATTTAAATTATAGAAGCTAACTAACCCAATCTAAGGTTTATCACCTAACTTTAGTATTGAGTATTGGAATGATATAGATAAATGCATTTATTCTCATAAACTAACTATTTAAGGTTTTAATAA